ATGGCTGTGAATGATTACATTGCCAAAAAAACATGGCTGTGAATGATTACATTGTCAAAAAACATGGCTGTGAATGATTACATTGCTAAAAAAACATGGCTACAAATTATTACATTGCCAAAAAACATGGCTGTGAATGATTACATTGCTAAAAAAACATGGCTACAAATTATTACATTGCCAAAAAATGTGGCCACGAATTATTACGTTGCCAAAGTTGTGGCTGTGAAAGATTACATTGCCAAAAAACATGGCTACGAATGATTATCTTGCCAAAATACATGGCTAAGTATGACTATGAATGATTATACTGCCAAAAAAACGGATGTGAATGACTACATTGCCAAAAAAGCATGGCCATGAATGATTACATTGCCAAAACATATTGCCATGAATGATTACATTGCCAAAAACATGGCTACGAATGATGATATTGCCAAAGAATGTGGCCATGAATGATTACATTGTCAAAGTTGTGGCCATGAATGATTACATTGCCAAAAAACATGGCTGTGAATGATTATATTGCCAAAATACAGGGCTACAAATGACTACATTGCCAAAAAAGTGGCCATGAATGATTGCATTGCCAAAAAACATGGCTGTGAATGATTATATTGCCAAAATACAGGGCTACAAATGACTACATTGCCAAAAAAGTGGCTGTGAATGATTGCATTGCCAAAAAACATGACTTAACTTGAGCCCACAACGTCAAATTTAATACATCACCTCCAGCTAATTATCTGGCAGGAATGGACGAAAAAGTCTATTCACTTTGATAATTCATTAAAGGTGACACAAGCTATTGGTATAAACATTATATTGCCAAAAATCGTGGCCACAAATGTCTACATTTACGAAAGTTCTAACATTCAATAACTAACTATTTAGCTGGCTAAAGCTGGTTAAATCTCAATCCTGCGTTATATTGTGTATTAAACGTCGTATTTTATGTAAAAAACTACGTTGAGCTACGTTGCCAAAAGCACAAAAGAAACACAGGTGGTGATGTAATGATTTACGATTTTATGATTCTACTTAAAGTTTCTCCTTAAACGTGAAAACATCTTGGATGTTCTGAGATATTTTGGGATTTGAAAGTAAATGTTTGGACTTACAGGAAGATAGAGGAGCATGGCACCTGACAGGATGGCCTCAAGAAGAATAAAACCAGACGCTTTGATTCTCTGAAAACAGAGAGAGAGAGAGTGAGAGAGTGAGAGTGAGAGAGACGTTTAAAGAGTCAACTGTTCAGTAACTAACTCCATAATTGATTTTTTTCAAAATGTACTTTTTTTCAGTAACACTTGATTTGAAGGCTGTCTACATAAGGACTTCATGGCACATTCATAACAGGTTTATAGAATAAAGTATGGGATTCTGTGAACAGCTTACAGTATGTCATCTTATTTGCAAGACAGCATGTGATGTTTGGCCAAAAAGTAAACACTTGTCATAGAACTTAATAACACACTCATTATAGTGGCATTATACTTCATAGCAGGGTTATAAATAAAGTGTATGTCCATTCCTTTCTTGCTGTATCTGGTTATAAAGCAGTGTAATGTCATTCGTGAGCATGGCAGTGAGGACGTGGTATGAAATGAGGCTTCATGAATGCAATGTTAGTACTTTATGCATGTGTTATGTATGTCATATGAACTAACGTAATCAACATCTATGACATGCTACTCATTACCTCTTTGCTATGTTATTCAGTGCTTATGAGTATGTTATGGAGTGTCTTTTACATAAATATAAGTCCATACTACATAATCAGTTCATATACAGTACATAAATGAATGTGCCTAAAGGTTATGTAGTCCTTATTCAGGTTCTACTTCTTATGGTAATTCATTGCATGTCGTTCTTGTACCTTGCTGCGGCGGAAGCGGTACACCACAGTCATGCAGATGAAGTCGAGCAGCACACACAGGCTCTGGAATGAGACGACGGCGAGGCGGAGGATGCCATCCTCCTGCGCCAGACACGGTGTATCATCCCGACAGAACACACAGCCATCCTGACACGGCAGACAGCGAGCCGGCACGTCTGAGGGTTCGGCCCCAACATAATGATCCCTTTCCAATTCTGACACACCACAGACACTCTGAATTAGCATTTGGGTAGAATTTGTGATTTAAAGTCTCATAACACATGTGTGAATGCTTATGTAGACAATGCACAAGGCAGCGTTATTAATTACTGATTTGTAAGTTGAAAGCATATAAAGAGACACCTGGATTCAAGGTCCTTAAAACGTAATAAAACATTTAACAATATAAACATTCATGAACCGTTATGTAGATTGATTTCAGCTTTTACAAATGGCTATAGATTGTTTATAGCCATGTTATGTATCAATACATGTCCAGTGAAGGTCCTTTATAAGCCTTAAGTTTCATAACACGTAGTTGCACTTACTCTGTGTTCTCACCAGCAGACACTCTTGTAGTTTGTTGCTTGTGGGCGTGGCCTGTCCAGCGTGGACTGTTTATTTCTGATGAGAAGCTCTAGTAGCTCTATATAACTTCTAAAGCTAGCTAGTTAAATGAAACTTAAATCAGGGTGAGTTGTTTGATTTACTTGTTAAACATTGTACTAGCTTCATCATCAGATAGGATTAGCTAAGCAAGCTAACTGTACTAGCTATGTACACTCACCACTGCTTCCGTCCAAGCTTTATTTTTCTTTGTAATGTCTCTGTACATATTTAAGGAGAGATCGTATATGACAGGATAATATGAAAAAATGTTTATACGATTTACTTCCATTTTTGCGGAAACTAATTGCAGGTAGGAACAACAGTCATGGGACTGGTCTGAGGAATCGTCTGAGCTGTTTAATCGGTTGGATTCGTCACTTCTTTACCTAATTTGCACAGAATTGAGAAGCTCAATGGCTTAAATTGTGGCTCAGGGTCAAGTACATCCATAAAAAATGAATGATCACCTGTCGCTTGCAAGTGCGAACGCAGGGTTAGACATATTGTGTAAATCAAATGGCACTGTAAGCCATACAAACACCATCATCAGTCCAATGTGGACATGTCCCAAATCACACACCACATTCCCTATTCACTACTTTTACACCTTTGGTTTGAGTTATAGACTGATGAAGCTGTAAATCCGCTTTTATGCCGATCCCTTGGCGTTTTTACCACGCTGTTATCACTTCATTAATAAACAGCACAGACTCGTGTCATTAGTGACTCATCACCTATTTTTAGGGGTGTGTGTGAGAGAGAGTGAGAGGATGAGAAAAGTGAGCAGGATGTTGCCCATAGCAACTAGGATTCACCGTGTGGCAGTATTTGTGTGGTTTTTCTACTTTGTGCAAGCAGCAGATTAAAAAATACGTCTTTTTGTCCATCTCAGAAGAAGAGTACACGATTCCTTAAAAAAAAAACCCCGAACCGTCACACATCCCTGTTAATTACTGCATAGCTTAAAATATAACGCACACACACATCAAACAGCTCTTTGTGTTACATGTTCATGTGGAAATAGTTGTTTAGGCATTATATTGTGATATTCAACTTACATTATTATCACCTCTTTTGTCTTCCTTTTTGGAAAATAGAACAAGTTAGATCCACGAGCGCACTCTGAGAAGATGAAATGATGTAATTATAGACTGCCGAAACTGAGACAAAAGCAGTAAACGCGTCATCACATGCAGCTGTGAATAAACGTGTGGTTGACCTGCCTCAGGTAAGTGATTTTATACACAATATAAAGTATAATGAACAGCTTCACTGAGGCGTGTACCAAATTACACCCTGTTCACTACACAGGAAACCTAAACACCATCGCAAACTCATCATTAGCCACCAAACCACATGCTCTATTCCCTATGAGTACAGAAATCAGTATTCAGATGTAACTACAGATTTAAGTGCTGTTAAGAGTTCGTCTAAAATGGAGGTGTGTTCCGGTTATGAACGTAAGCGAAGGTTACGTACATTTTTCTTGTGTGATAACAGGTTGAGTGAGCAGCAGTATTAAGTCCAGCACCACTGTCTGACAGTTTGACGTAACCACCAGTGGTCATGCTGAAAAACGTTTTGGTTGTAAATACACGCTTTCTTTACAAGACAGCAGACTGAATTAACAAAAACACTGGAATTATTTTATTAATTTGACAAATTAAAATAGTGAATTAAAGGCATGATAAAGTAGCCAACATCCTGTACACACCTCTCGTGGTTCCATTAACGTGTTCATGAGTAACTGATTCTCGTAACTGAGTAACATAATAATAATAATAATAATAATAATAATAATAATAATAATATTCCATATTCTCATTAATGTTTCAGTTTATATATATATATATATATATATATATATATATATATATATATATATATATATATATATTGATAGATAGATGGATAGATAAACCTCATAAACATCAGTCCACACAGAATAACAAATGGAATGGATTTTTGTGCACACAACAGGATATTGTTTTTTGGACTACACCATTACAATGCATTGTGGGATACCAATATATCACGTAATGTGTTAAATATTCTCCACTATGCATAATAGTGTGCTCTGTAGTGAACAGAGTGTGGATCAGGACACGATACTCACTGGAGAAGCCGTTGAGTGCCACTCGGCTGTGTTGGTAAAACCCCCTCCTGCACTGGCACTTGTACTTGTCCAACACGAAGCCGTGGCCTGGAATCGGTTTGCACTGTGGAGAGAGAGGAAACACTGTGAGCAAACATTCTGAGAACAATCAAGATTCATAAAGTACCTCATATAATTTTTTTCTGGAAATGACTAATTAAGGAATAAAACACTGTGTGCGTGAGATGCTCTTACAGTAAAATAATGAGTGGTCGTGTGCTGAAGCATAGTTACCATTACCACACTGACATTGATTGTTTGCTATAGCAGCATGTCCCCAAGTGTTTATTCCTCTTATACCACAGCAGGTTGCCCATGACTGCAATTTTTATTAATTAATATATGACACATCATGGGTCCCTGGTGGACCCTAGTGGTTAGGCCTTGTTGCTGCACCAATGCGGCCCGGGTTCGATTCCCAGCCATGGGATGCCCTGTGTCAGGATGGGCATCTGGTGTAAAAACTGTGCCCAATCAAATATGTGGACCACTGAGCCGCTGTGGTGACCCCTAACAGGAGCAGCCAGTAGAAGAAGTACAAGAATATGACATATCATACATTGACTGTTTATAGCTTCATGATTTAATGCTGTGGAACGTCTGTGAAATAAGTTCTCATTTACAGCAGCTATAAACAATCGTTCCCTCACCAGCCTCTCCATTTCTCTCAAAAAAGGAAGCGCAGGAAAACTTAAAGTTTCATCTTCACCTCTGACTGTTACAAAGGGCTGACACTGGAGACTCCTTCCATAAACGTTAAATAAACATCTTGTTACATATAAATGATTACACTCGTTTTTAAGTCCCTTTATGTGGAGCTTCTGCCGTAGCTGTTACTATGAAATGATAAAATATTAGAACTGTCTGGTCAACCCAAACAACTTCAGTTCGTAGCACCGAACACGCCTACAAACATGGCTGCCCCAGACTACACTTCCCAAAACATACATACACTCCCTTGGTCTCAGTCACCGGACCTTTGATTATGCACACCTGGTCCCAATTACACTCACCCTTTGAAAGGGACTTTCATTCACACACCAGCTGCAAAGTATACACTCAGCTTACCTGTGTTTCTCACGTGACCAAGCCTATTTTCTCTGACACAACTTTTCTCATTTGACCTTGATCTTGTTTTTCATTTTTCTGAGTTTTCCCTAGCCTAGTGTATCCTGTTTGCCAATCGCCTGACCTAAGCCTATTTTTGGGGTGGTTGACTATATTCTTGAACTCTGCACGATCACGCAGGGAAAGGCTGAAACAACACAGCGTTTGACCGCGGTCTAAACCCCGAACTCTTCACAGAGATGGTGTGCCGTGATGAGCCGCTCACCCTCTACTCGCTCACTGACCTAACCGTCTCGGCTACCTGCTCCACAACCGTTGTCCACCCCACTGCGAAGGAGGTTTTCCTGGTGCCAGCACTCCCGTGGAGCCCATGCAGCTGGGGTGTGCATGGCTCAGTGAGGCAGAATGGGGGAAGCAACACAGGGAACACTGCTGCTTCTACTATGGCCAGCCGGACCATCCCATTTGGCAGTTTCCCCTTCTCACTAGGACCAGTCCAGTTACAAGCGGAAGCCCCAGCCCCCGCTTGCAAATGGTGAGTCCGTTCCAGTCTCCTCCTTACCAGGCATTTACACTGCCCATGATTGTACAACACTCAGGTATGCTCTCTGTGTTGACAGAGTTGATCGACTCAGGGTCAGCTGAAGATCCAGCCAATTGACGGGGGACCCATCTGGGGAGGCACCATCACCCACTGCATGCAGCCCCTACCCCTACAGGTCGGCACACTCCACCACAAACACATCACACTGCTGGTCACCACTACACCCAAACATCCAGTGATCCTGGGCCTCCTGTGGATGGACCTGCACAATCCCCAAATCAGAGAAACAACTCTGGTCAGAGAAACAACTCACCCGCTGGTTCCCCTACTGTTTGACCCACTGTCTCCATGTCCCTGAGCTAACCATAGCCTCCACCTCCATAGTAAGCCCCAAGAACCATGTCTCATTCACCGTGCCCCCGAGTACCATGACCTGAGTGAGGTTTTCAGCAAAGACGAGGTCAGTGGGCTACCCCCCCATCATCCCTATGATTGCATCATCGAGCTGCTAGCTGGGTGTATCCCCTGTCTGTGGCTGAGCAGCAGGTGATGGAGAAGTACATTCAGGAGGTGCTCCAGCAAGGGTACATCAGGCCATCTACATCCCCCTTGTCAGCTAGGTTCTTCATGGAGAAAAAAGGGGGTGGTCTCAGGCCTTGTATTGACTGTCTGGAGCTTAACCAGTGCACAGTCAAGTACCGGCATCCTCTGCCCTTAGTCCCTGCCACCCTGGTACCGCTTCGGTTCACCCAGTTCTTCACCAAGCTTGAACTCCACAGTGCTTTTAACCTGATGTGCATTCATGAGGGGGACAAATGGAAAGCAGCCTTTAGCACCACCTCTGACCACTATGAGTATTGTGTGATGCAGTATAGGCTCTCTAGCAGCCCCTTAGTGTTCCAGTGCCTGATCAATGACGTCCTGAGAAAGATGACATCATGGTCTACTCCCCCTCCTTCGATACTCATGCCCGTCATGTCTGCCAAGTCCTTCAGCACCTCCTGCAGCACTAGCTGTACGAGAAGGGGGCGCTACTGACTGTGCTATGGATCGGGCCATCTCTCATACCCCCCAGCAGCAGATTCCTCCATCATGCCCTCCAAATAAGCTCTATGTCCCTACCCACCTGAGAACCTTACTCATTACCTGGGCCCACACCTCCATTGCAACTGGCCACCCAGGAACATAGCACACCTACCATATGCTGTGGAACAAGGATTGGTGGCCGAATAGGTTTGCAGACGTGTATGCACTGTGCCGTATCTTCCTGTACTGCCTGCACCCAAGCCAAAGCGCCCCGAACCCTGCCCACCGGTAAGCTCCTACTGCTGCCCACACCCCAACGGACCTGGTCACACCTGGCGATCGATTCCTCACTGATCTGCTGGAGTCCCAAGGTAACACCACCATCTTAGTAGTAATTGACTACTTCTCAATGTCCCTGTGCCTTATCCCATTCCCTAGCCTCCCCTCTGCTTTTGCTACGGCCGATCTCCTTTTTAGCCATGTGTTCCAGTACTTTGGGATCCACATTGTGACATTGTTAGTGACGAGGGTCCACAGTTTACGTCCTGTGTGTGGGTTAGCTTCATGGAGAAACTGGGGATGACCATCAGCCTAACCTCAGGGTACCACTCATAAGACATATAAACACCATCATCAGTCCAATATATGTCAGGTCAACCCAGACAACAAACTTCAGTTCCCAACAAGCACCATGGCCTACAAACATGGCTGCCCCAGACTCCACTTCCCAGAACACACACACACAAACTACCTCGCCCTCAGTCACTGGACTTTTGATTATGCACACCTGTTTTCAATTACACACACTCACCCTTTAAAAGGGACTTTCATTCATAAACCAGTTGCGAAGTATACGCTCAGCTTACCTGTGTTTCTTATGCTACCAAGCCTGTTTTCTCGCCACAGCTGTTCTGCTTTGACCGTGATCTTGTTCCTCGTTTTTCTGAGTTTTGCCTAGCCTAGTGCATCCTGTTTGCCGGTCGCCTGACCTAAGCCTATTTTTGACTTTGACTTTGCCTAGCGTTTTGGATTGTTTGCACAGACTTTCATTAAAGATGTTCTTCCTGCAATTGTATCTGTCTAAGTCACCATTACATGACAAGAACGAGCATGTTAATATAAACCTGCAATTTGATTAGAAAATTAATCAACACCTTCTGAGCAATCAGAATCCAGAATTCGACAGCCATTCATACAACCGAATGGAAGTAACTATAGTAAGAAGAAAAGGAGAGTGTGTTGGATAATTTTCCCTCAGGTTAAAAAATTTATCTTTATTTTCTTTTCTTTTTTTAATTACAGTTTTGGTTAAAAAAAATGTGCATGCTGATTTAGGAACGGGGTTTGCAGAGGATTGTGTGTTTCACATAAGCAAAGTGTAACTCTCTTTTTATATCTCTTCTGTGCTAATTATGAGCATCTTGTGGATTTCAGTAAAGTACAACACTCTAATCAACAGCAAAATTTATTGGTTTTCAGGATGAACTTTATCCACAGAGCTCCAAGTGGAGAAGCTCCACAGAGAAAGTGGAAATAATAACTAGCAGCTCACGCTAAAAGTGTCGAGGCTGGAGGGATTGTAAATTGTAGGTCTCTTTTACTTTAAATAGCAGCTCTTCATCACACACACACACACACACGCTTGTCTTCCCACCCAGCGAGAGCCCTCAGCACACGAAGCCCACTCGAGCAGATTTTAATTAACACAGGGCCAAGGCTCTGATTAGGGCTGGATGATAATTTGCACGCTGACACTCCTCCCTGCAGCGATGTAGGATGTTTGATCACTGCCTCCAAACTGCTTTTATTAGCCTCCATTTATCATCACTGCACATGTATTTATTAAATATGATCATCACAGAGTGGTGTGGGATCACCTTAGACAGGCATTTCTTTGGCTGTGTGATAATCTCTGACTAGCATCTTAGTTTTACTGTAAAACTGCACACAATTTCAAGCATCCGTGATATAGAATCACTGTCCTCTTGTATTGTGAATATGTACAAGCTGAATGGTTAATGATTCCCGTCCACGTAACACAAGAGATAAAGTAATAAACTGCAGCACACAGATTAAACAGCTGTGACTCTGTGAGTCACACCCGTAATACAGCAATAGTGTTTCAGGATTATCTTAAATGAAAGACAGACAGGACAGAGAGATAGTCAGAAAGAAAGACAGACAATTAGACAAATGGAATAGTCAGGACAGGCAGATACAGTACAGAAAGACAGACAGATGGGACACAGACAGGACAGACAGATGGGACAGACAGGACAGGCAGACAGATGGACATAAAAGCAAACCATTGTTTCATTTAAGAAGGAATTATATTTTAGGAAATTACTGTAAACGAAACTGGAAACTTAAAATGGCAGACAGAAAGACAGACAGACAGGACAGACAGAAGGGACAGATGAACAGATAACAGAAAACAAACAGAAATACTCTCAGATGGGAGAGATGAACTGGACATAAAGACAGACAGCTGGACAGGACAGATGAACATACAGACAGATGACCATATGGGACAGACAGATGGGAGAGACAGGACAGACTGACAGATGGGGCAGGTGAAACTGATGGGACAGATGGACAGGTGTGACAGACAGACAAACAGGACAGACAGACAGACAGATGGACAGAGAAGTGAACTGATTGCAACTTAATTGGAAACCTAAAAAGACTGGCGGCTAGACAGACAGGGCAGACAGACAGCACAGAAAAATGGGACAGATTTGACAGACAGATGGGCCAGATGGACAGGACAGACAAACTGGGCAGAAAGACAG